AAATTGTAATAATTAACCGCTTTATTTTTTTTAAATCATATAACTAATTTGATTTACACTCCAAAATTAATAGGTGTCACATAATTTACACATTAATTCTTCATTACTTAATATATGTAATTATATCAATGACATATAAATTGAAATAAAAAAATTACATATTATATTTGAAAATCACGTAATAGTACTATAAGATATAATAATTAACAACTTAACATATTTTAAAATTTTAGTTGACTCTCCAAATTCCATATTTCTCATGTAATTGAGACAGAGAAAAACATATATTGGTTTAAAATTAATAAAAATATTATAAATTATAATAATTAACAACTTAAAATTTATTAAAAAAATCCTTTAAAAAAATTTAGTTGGCTCTCCAAATTCAATCGGTATTATAATAATTAAAACATAGAAATTAACATAGATTGGACTCCTGCTGACATTTATGTTTCCTTTTTTTAAATTTTTTCTTTTATACTTTATATAAATAATTTTTTTATGTAAAAAGTATTATAAATCATAATAATTAATAGCTTAAAATATTTGAAAACATATAAAAAGTTTTTGTTAACTTTCAAAATTTCATCTATACCGCATAAATTGAGAGAAATATAGATATATAGATATTTTAAGTTGCTAATTATTGTGAGTTATAGTACGTTTTATGTAATTTTCATATATATTACTCGCTTTGTCCTGATTTATGTGATACAAATGAAATTTCAAAAGTCAATGATTTTTTTATAAGTTTTTTTTTATATTAACTTCTTAATTATTGTAATTTATAATATATTTACGTAAAACATACTCTAAATAAAAATAATTAGCAACTTAAAATATATAAAAACATACTAAAAAATTGATTAACTTCAAATTTCATATGTACCACATAAATTAAAACAGAAACAGTAATATATATTGGGCCCGTGCTGGCACGGGTCCCATATCTAGTAATATATAGAAGAGAAAGTGTGACTTTCTTGTCAACTACTGACATATTTTTATAGTGACTGGTACTCTCCCCTTTTAATTGTTAGCCATTTTGTCACTAAGGCAACTACATAATCAATTTTCCTTTAATTTCCCCATCTTTAAGTACAACTTTAAACAAAAAATAGATGAAAAAACTCCTTTCCCATCCCTTTTAGAGGGAGAAAAAAATATGTGAAAGGAATATTAACAAAGAAAATGAGGGGAAGTATTTGGTCAGTTTCATGGGAGAACGTGGAGTCCTCTTTCTATCCCACAAAGAAAACATATATAACTAACTAAATAAATAAAAAGAGAAAAGTAATGTCATTTTAGTACTAGCTAATTAGAAAAATTCAATGGCCAAACACAATTATCATGTTTCGTTTTTTCCTCCAAGTTCATTGCCTGTGGAAGGAATATTTCAAGTTCTCTATAATATGTTAGTTACTCATTAGGAGTTTATAAATAATAATAATAATAATAATATATATGGTGGAGTAGGTGAAGCTTTCGAAATTCAAAAATCAAAATAAACCCCTTTCGTTGCACCAAAATACTATATATAAACACATTTTTTAGATATGCATCTTTGGCACTTTATTTGTGTATATATAATAGATTTTTGAATATAAATATAGAGTCAGCGATAAAAGTTATTGAATTTTCAAAAAGTCACACCTAATTAACCTAGAACCGTCCCTAATTTGTACTCTATATATCTTTTGATCTTTTGTTGTTGTAATTATTCGGAAACTTAGTCCTATAACCCCAAAACATCGGCTTTGTGCATGTATTTGATTAAGTGGTTAGATATTGGTCAGCATAACAAACACAAGTCATAAAATTGAATACGGAAGAAAGGGAAAAAAGTAGAAGAAAATAAAGGAAAAGATTAGATCAATATTTTGATCCAACAAAACTTCAAATTTGAATATGTAAAATCATAATATATTATATAATACGTAAAAATAAACTTAAAAAATATACCCTTTGACAATATCGAAATTTATTTTAAATCTGAAAAAAAAAGGATAGAAGTCTAGTGACGAAATTAGAAATTCCATTAAGAATGTTCAAATAAATTTTTTTTTTTAACCTAAATACTTCGTATAATTTTCGACGAACAATGTCCAAGACTAACCAAAGAACTATTTTAGATAAATATTAAATGGATCAGAAAAGACCACATATGTTTGAAAAATAAATTAAAGACATTAAGAAATGACCCTAGCAAAAGGTACATGGACTTAATTCCTCACAACCAATGCAGCAGCCAGCAGGTAGAGGCTCTAATTTAATTTCATATTATTAAATTTATCTTCTTGTCTTATTCATTTTGTATTTCTCTTCTGCTATAATCAATCTATATAAATATATTATATAACATATAGAAAAAGATAAAATAGACTAGAGTTATTAAAAATGGCCAAGTTGATGGATTTTTTCGTAGACTTTTGACCCATGATACATGTCGCATATAGTGGAAATATACATGATTTATATGTTGTGATTTTCATTGTTGTTATACTATATCCAAAAGAAGAAAAAAAGTTTCAAATTTCGTTTTCATATTTCGTCGTATTCTACTTTAACGAGTTCGACCATATATAAGATTATTACATTACATGCATGTTTTTGACACGAGTTATCATAAACAGTACGTGATTCGTTAACATATGGAAATTTACGTAGCTAGAGGACTACACAACTAATTACTACGCTCCAATTTACGTGATACTTTTTGTTTTTCTAGAGTGAAACAGTTTAAGTTTTATCGCGAATTTGTGCTTCAATTTTTTTGAAATAAAATTTATATATTTGTAAACTACGTAAAAAGTACTACAAGTCACAATAATTGATAATTCAAAATGTTTAAAAGATCTATGAAAAACTTACGGTCAAAGATAGACTTGTTTGAATCTTGAAATCCGAAAAGTACCACATAAAATGGGACAGAGGGAGTACTTATTTTTCCGTTGCAATTTATGTAATGATATTTAATGGGATACAAACCGTAGTAAATAAAGAATGATTTTAAAATTAAGTTGCAAATATTTGTATGACTATAAATCATCTTATTAAAAATAATTAATGAGTATTTTAAAAACAAATTATTACTAAATAAAAAATTTATCATTTATATTTTACTCTATTAGATCTAATTAGTTCAACCAACATCATTCATCATAATTAGTCATAACTATTTTTCACGATTCATTGACTTAAACACCCATACAAATGAATCATGTGTCAGGATCCAAATTAAAATTTTATATGAATAGTCGATCATGAAAACAATAGCCAACAAATATATAGATTTTTTAAATATTTATTTAGCGAATATAATTATTTTTTGTATAACTTGCCCAAATTTAAATTGGTGATACACGAATTTTCAGTCCTCTTATATAATTTCACTCTTTTTATCATATCTGAGATCAAAACTCTTGATTTTTTCACTGTGCGCACTCCAAACATACATATAGAAGAAGAAAAAAATCTAAAAATGGGTGGGAGAGAGGTGACAAAAATTCGATATTCTAATATTCTCACTCACAAGAAATCTAATCAATGATCGATCAAAATGGATAAAATTTCAAATAATTATTATGCCAACCTTTTTTGCTGGCCCACAATTTAGTGGAGAGAGTTTCAGAAACTCAAAAATGAATCAGAATATGGAATTTTATATATATGGGATCACCAACCATTTTCACTATCAGATGAATATGACCTGTTACGAATTAAGCAGTGGTAATTAATGAAACCTTTTAAGGATGTCAACTATTCATGACATTAAAAAGGGAATAAAGTAATACATTCATCCTCTAAGTTTTTCTTCTTCTAATGTTATCAGATAATTCAAAAGATATTTAACTTTTTAACGAAATATTATAGTCACCCTCTCTAGTCTTCAAAGAACAAAAGAACTACTTTTGAAGGAAAACTCTATCATTCCACTTAGGCATAAATGATAATGCAAGCTAGAACTACATTATTATTCTATGCTTGGGAAAAAGTATAGTGGGGACAATTGTTCCATCAACATTATAACTTAAAGTACCCTTTGATTATATTAACATATAATATTTTAATTTTATTTATATAAAGAAAAAAAATGTATATTTTAGAAGGAAAAAAGTTCATGATAGTCTAGCTTATAATCTAGTTGTTAATAGCCTTTTCAACCAAACATTTGATCCAAAGAAGAATCATTTTCTCCTGGAGTTAATTAAATTACAATTAGTATATTTTTAATCCCACATGAGTCATGATTTTCTTTTCTTGTTACTACTTTAATTAGATCTAATGATGCACTTAGCCTTCAGATTTTATAACCTGGCCTACTTTAATTTAAAAAGCGTAATTTTTTATTTCATGATGAATAATTTAGTCATGAAGCGGCTTGTGCATTTTGTTTAGTTAAGTTGGGTAATATTTTTATATGGAAAAAAATAAATCTTCCTTTTTCAATGGAGTACTATAAGTTGCTTTGAAAAATAAAACAAGAAAAAAAAAATACTAATAGAAACTCTTCGTTTTTTTTTGCCGACACATTAGGGGGAACCAGAACCATGAAACAAGCACCATATCAAATGTGTTAGTTAAATTGTTTCTAAATAAAGTAGTTACTCACCGTATTTGCTATCACCTACTTCTTGAAACATATAATTTGAATTTTATGAGTTTTAAATTTTAGAATAGTTAAGTTAGATTATAACTAAGTTTAAACTAGAGTTGCTGAATTTGATCAAAAGATATTTTACCCTGAATTGAAACCAACCAACTAAACAAATTAAGTAAGAATTCATCATAAATTAATTAATTTCAATTGCTAGCTAGTCAATTTATCATAGTCTTTTCCCTTTTATATAGGTTTTAGAATACATTACCAAAATTAAGTACTGGAAATTTTGATCATCAATGACAATGACTTTCTTGAAGATATATCTATTGATCTTACTTTAAAAGAATTAATCCCAAACTTCTTCCATTATTCCATAGGCTCTAACCTCATAAAAAAGTAGTAATTAATCAAATTATTAAGTAGCAAAATTCAAACAATAATACAACTTTCTTTTTTGGGGCATATTATTGTTTTCTTCAATCTATGCGTATTTACAAACCGAAAAAAAAAAATAGAAGAAAAATTTCAAACTTTCCTTGAGAACATTTACCTTAGTGAAGAAAATTCTTGACAAAAAAATTTTAATAACAAACTCGAATTGAGATTTAATTATGCTTCATGAATTGCAGCCTCAGAAATGCTCTCTAAATGAGGCCTCCAAACTCCAACTCTTCCTCTTCTTCTATCTCTTTGTGTTGAGACTTTCTCAGACAAGATTTCACTTAAATATTGATCATTAGACACCATCATATTTTTACTATTACCATTTATACTATTATTACTATTCGCATTACTATGACGACCTTGTGATGATGATGATGATGATGATGATGATGAAGATGAAGATCTTGTTTTCTTCTTTCTTGTTGTTGATGATTTTGAACGATTTTTTTCACTTGAAGGAGTAGGAAGTGGCATGAGGAAATAAATCTTGCCACGTTTAAGTTCAGCATCAGGAGGAACTACGACGATTTTCGGACAAACTCCTCCTCCTTCTGAGGAATAATAAGATGATGATGGTTTTTTAAGAACATGTTTAGGGTAAATCTTCATGATTTCAGCTGCTTTAACACTTCCACTAATCTCTTCAACTTTGCCATTAGCATGAACTATTCGAATCACATCAAGTGCCCCACATGGTAGTATGCAAGATATGCAACATCTTATTGTGTTCTTCATGATGGCAAGCTATTTTTATCTTTATTGTCCAAAAGAAGAAGGAGGAGAAAGGAAAAGAGAAAGATAAGTCTATTTTCTTGGTTTATAATGAGAAGCAAAAGAAGAAGTGAAGAGAGGGGAGGGATATTGTATTGGTATCACTATCAATCAACTTGGTATAGTTTTTTGTTACTACAAATGATGATTTTATTATATGCTTTGGGGGGCTTACCACCTTTTCCCCCCTTCTCTTTTTGTGGATACTTTTTCTTTCGGGGTGGAGCTAAAATATAAGTTACAAGTTCAACTAATAATAACTTTCATTTAAATAGAGGTGGATTTAGAATTTAAGATTTATAGGTTCAATCTTTATGGTTCTTAATTAGAATTGAACCTATTGTATTTCTAAAGTTATGGGTTCATACATATTGTATTGTTTTAATATTTAAGTGGAATATGTTTACACATAAATTTATACCCTGCGTCAAAAGTATTGGGTTCAGATAAACTCTATATCAATACTCTACTACATATATATGCCTCTGAATCTAAACTTTGTATTTGTCTTAAGAAATCTATTGAATATGTACTAATATTAATTTTTAAATCCAATAACTTAAAAGGACTAAAATCACAAATCTATATACTTCAATTCTTGGCTCAACTCTGTTTTTTCTTTGGTCTTTTGCATTTTTTTTATAATTAAATTCACTTGTTTGGGGGGTTGGAAATGAATGGCATGAATAATTGCACCTCATTTTGTACTTTGCCTTTTGTATCCATCATTCAGGGCCCTTTGCCATTCAATTCCATTCTCCAATAGCCCTTAATTTGCTGAGTTCAATTAATAATGGGAGTTGGCTGCCTTACCTATGCATGAAACTTGGATGACCCCATGTTTGTACATGATTGGAATTGACGTGTCAGCACTGGTGGGGCCAACTACATTTGCTCTATGACCACGTGTCTGAATCAGAATTCGACACCTGTCTATCGACATTTGGTTGAATTCTCCTGGTTTAGAGTAGGTGGAGAGGCTAATTAGTGTAGGGCCTTTATTCATGAAAGGGCCAAAGAGAAATACTTGTGATAGAAGAATAGTGTTTCTTGAATATGGAGAAGGTTTCATTTGGTCCCTAGCTCATTAGATTTAATTAAGAGTGAAAAGGAAATTGTTTTTCTTTTTTTGCATTTTGTTGGAGTGGGTGGAAAAATAATCAATAAGGAGATATGGGACATACAAAGAGATCTTCTTTTGATTGGAGTTTTTTTTTTGTGATTTTTCAATATTCCCAAGCAAATCATGTGGGTTTGTGGTTTTCATGGGAAAGTGAAGTGTTTATAGACTCTTTTTACTCATCTCAAGTATATAGTTGATTTATGTTTTTAGGATATATATATGTAGTGCTTTGACTAATGTGAAGTTGCTTGTCCTATTTACCCTAGAAACATGAACTTCTAGCCACAAAACCAATGTGCATTTTTTCCATCATTACCCAATATCAATAGTCAATTAAGAGAAAAGATATACACACTATATATCCTAATTATCTAAAATCTAGTTGGACTTTCAAGATTTCATCCCTTTTTAAAATTTGAAGAATTTATGATTCCAAATCCAATTGTACTCTATGTTTTTCAATAGTAGTTATAGTATATTCAAATCCAACATCATGACACAAAAGAAAGTGGTTCAATCTGATCTATATATCCAAAGTGAAAAAAAGTTGTAACATGATTGATTTGATGTGCAAAACATTGTCATATAATAATGGACCATGACATTGATTTACTTAGGGGGCCAAAAAATGAAGCTTTGCTTAGAGCAACAAGGTAAAAAACACATATGAAAAGGTACTTTAAAACTATAGATAGCTTATATATACCTTATAAATCAATTTGAGTTATTGCTTGGTTAATTTTGGTTGTCCCATCAAAGTTATGGCCCAGTCATTAAATGGTTCAGATATGGATGTTAGTGGACAGCATGTGAGAGGATGGAGAAAAGGGTCCATATGTGGGTCTAGGGAGGAGGGGCGGGGGGGGGGGGGGGTTAGAGAAGGGGGTATCTTACTTTAAGGCATGTATCAATCCTCTTGATATCTAGGACTTAGTCCTTAGATTTGTGATTTTTAATTGATTTAGTGATTAATACTAACCTATTGTTAGAAATAAATTTTACGCTATCAGTATAATTTTACTTATTATAACATATCAATCAATTTATGTATCGTTAACTTTTATATAACCTGATAGTGTAAAATATTTTATAAAAATAGTGTTGAACTTATAGTACGTACTCTATTATTAAAGGTGATTTAGGAGTAATAAAAAAAGGGAATTTGAGTTTGAGATGGATCATGGGTTGTCTGATAGCTTTCAATAATTGGACACTAGTGTGGATAGGAACTCTTTTCTACCATAATTCTAATTTGCCAATCATCTTCTTTGAACAAGTAACAAAAAGGGAATTTTATTACCCTTCTGACATATTTATCAACTTCTCACTTTCCATATACTTGGTCTGCAACTTCTCTTCCATCTCTCTCTCACACAAAATTCTATTTGTTTCTGTTGGATTTTCTCTCTCTTTTAATTTCTTCATCCTTTTTATTATTATTATTATTATTATTATTATATATCATATAATATAATATACACAATCAAGAATATCAGAGGTTTGGATCCATCTTATTAGAAGATTGTTTTGTATATTGACCATAATGCAATTTCCTATTATTCAAGCCCATGACTATATATACCTACCTAGCATTTTGAATCGGGATTATACTTGCTACGTCCTACCAACAAAATTTGAACAAATGAGAAAATTAAATTATCTAATAGGTACTTTTGCTTCTATTGAGATTTAAACATACTATCTCATAATTCTTAACTCACTTTCATTAACCACTAAGTCACATTCTTGAATTTCGAGACTCCCTCATCTTAGAACTATGAGATATATAAATGAAAGAATTTTTCTGCGCACCGATAATATAAATAATGTTGTACTATAAAATCAAGTCTACACACAATGATAGGAACATTTCTATTTCAACTCTAATATAATAATTTAGAAAATAGAATAACAACCTGCAATCAGTTAAATATGGTGTAATAAAAATGATTCTTGGGGTATAGTAATTGAACAGCTCTTAATGTAGTACAACTTTATGCATAGAAGACGTGACACAAGTAAACAAGCTTTGATAGTTGAACTTTTTATTACTTTTAGGAACATTTTCTCTCAAGACCTATCAAACTAAAAGTCATTTGCTGAAATAATGTCTTTACTAAAAACCAGAAAAAAATAGATATACCATGTGAAAAAACATATATACTAATTGATAATCAGAATAAATTGGTACTTCAACAACTCTAGATGCTGTTGATGAAGATGACTGATCCATATATCTGTATTGTACCTATCAACATCTCTTTATTTAATGGGTGAAAGATTAAGGAGAATATATTTGAGAATTTTACACTCAAACTACCTTTTTAATTCAACTAATGCATTAGTGGGGATCACCCAAAAGCTTTGCTTGAATTTAACTTTTATATACACTAGGGGTAGTTTAGATGGTGGGATATAATGATAATAATCTCGAAATATCTCAAAGAACTATTATATTCTGTATTGATATATAATGGGTAATAGTTAATTTAAAGATTATTTTACTCCACCATTTTAGTATAAAGATAGAATAATAATAAAAGTTGTTTCATTTAGAAAGTGAGATAAAATAATTCCATGAAATATCTTAACATATTCCATCTCACAACCAGACATTAACCCCTTAATAACGTAATTTTTTTTTACATTGTCATATTATCTAAAAGATAACCACATATAATTACTCGGAATTAATAACTTAAAAGTTAAAAGAATTCGATTAAGATGTAGGATACCTATCTACAAGTTTTCGCAACTCAATCATAGATAGATTTTACCTTTTCGAACTATCTCGGTAACTTACTAGAGGGGGCAGGTTACAAAGATAAGATGTGTACAAACGAGATATCCAACAACAAGAAGAAGGAATAGGATTGTAGAGATTGAATCTCCTGTTGTTCCTCAGTAGCTCAATGGTAGAGCGGTCAGCCGTCCGAATCCAATGCATGAAATATTAGTGGTGGGATCAAAATTTTTATTAAGAAGATTTAATATATGAAGAAATAAACAAGCTAAAACATTGTTAATGATATGGATATCACCATGGAGGGTTAGGGTTCCAAGTGGGACAAAAAAAGTTCTCTTAAGATCTCTTAGGCTCGAGTCCTAAAAAAAATAAAAAAAGTTTTCAGTCAGTTCAAGGGAACACTTATTTTTTAATGAGTAGTGAAAATTGGACATGGGTATAAATATTTTATTGATATATTTTTCATGAGAATTAATAAGAACCCTATTTTTGCAACAAAACAATATATCTTTCTCGTGCTCCTCGACTTTAATTGCACATTGAACTATGTGTATTACTACCATATTGAAACAAAATAACACAATTAGATGCACGTACATGTGTTCATCAAATTGAGGTCATCCATAACAACTTATTAAAACGACAACTGATTATTATTCTATTAGTAAGCTAAAGATGATAATATTCACAAGTAGTAGTTTCTTATAGGATTAAGTAATTTGACTTGGGAGTCAATTGATTTCCTTCCAATTATCTTGCAAAGTAGGTGTATACACAATAGTATATAAGTTGTTTAAAACTGTATATAACCTCCACATAGATATGTGAAATATACGTTTAAGAAACAGTGAAAATTAGGAAAAATAACTTAAATACACAACTTTAAGTTCCTTATTATCTATTTTTCCCTACTTTTTTAAAAAATTACTTAAATCCCTTATTTCACTTAAATATCAAATATGTCAGATACATGATTATTTTTTACCTCCCACGTTTCACCACTCCCTATGTCACTCCTTTTTTTTCTCCCTAAATTCACTCCAATATTTTTTTAGTTACAGATCATTATCCCAAATTGATTTTCAAAAAATTTCTCTCTCAATCCAACCCTTTTCAAACTCCGTCCTCTCTCCCAAAGTCTGCCACGG